CACTTTTTTCACGATAGTACTGATTTTTATATCTTTACTAGTTAAGCTGAAATAACTTCTATAAGACATTTTGCCACTATTATTTGCTATATAATTGCCTTATAATAATTCTGCACAGCAGAGAAGAGCGTACTTATCATCAGATTCAATACAAAAAATTAACTAACTCCACACTAACTAATCTAGGTTACTATTATGTAAGAACAGCTTCGATTCACTCAACATTGATATCATGATATAGAAATATAAAAATAAAGATATAAAAATCAGTACTATCGTGAAAAAAGTGCTTCTGGACAGTTTTGGGGAAAGATAAGACTTGAAAACAGAGCAGATGATAGTATATAATTTTATTGATTCGATTCTAACCATCCACTATTTAGATCACCTAAAATAGCTGCTTGAGATAAGCAAAAATCAGGATTTCTTAATGAAACTGATTATGATTTTGAACGAGCTTCTCCTATCTGATTTTTCACAAACATTTTCCGTTCATAAAATATTAATTTTCACACAGGACGCTCATTTCAACATAATAGACTTTCTTTCGATGAACTTACCAATAGAATTCTTCGGTTTACTAATGCTGGAAGAAGTTATTGATGGATTTTGTTTCTTCAATGCAATTGCTTTTTGGCGCCATTCCATACTCTTGTCCAAGTTACCGGCATTTGATGCAAGTTTGCCAAGATCTTGATATAAATCCATGCGTAGCGGATCGTTGGGTGGAAGTTGTTCTAATAAGCGAATAAAGTATTTTTCAGCTAGATCAAATTGACTCATTTCCCATAATATTTTCCCTAATACTTGAAGATTTGTTTCTTCACTCACAAATTGCTCTTTCATATCCATGAGAACCTGTTTTAAATCATGTTCATCATCATTCCATAAAGTCATTTGAATGTTCCATACTTGATCATTCTTGTTGCGTTCGACACTGTTCAATCGAAAAATAGAACCAAGCATAAAGAGCACTTCAGATTCGTCTTTATAATCACTATATGCACTGACGTCAGCAAATGGTTTTGTAGTGACCATCTTAGGATCAGCATCGATTTCAAATAATAATGATTCTGCATTGTCTGCACCATCAGAAATCTTGAGAAATGAAAGAGCTTTTTGTTTGTTAGTACTGGTGGAAAAAAATGAATTCACTGAAATAAACTGATCACGGCATTGTCTCAAAGTTATCAATTCATCACTTGATATCCTTTGGCTTCGATAAACTCGTAGACGATGTTGAGCTTGATCCCTTTTTAATTGACGATATATATCATGGATAAATTTACGAAATAAAAAAATTAAGTGAATATTTTGTTTACGTAGAGCTGCATTAAGAATCTTGTAAAAGAATGATTCTCGTGTATACCACCATAAGACCTTCTTAGATGAATAATCTTGATCAAATTCACGAAGATTGCTCAGTTCGTTCCTATTACTTTCATATTGCTGTTGACAAAAATCAATAAGTTCTTTTTTATCTGTTGAAGTGTATTTTAATCGCAGAAGACAATCAATTAGAACTTGAGAAAAAACAAATTGACCATTAACACCGGTTGTAGATGTACCTGCCCCAGAACCTATAGTGAAAGTATTGATTGAAAATGGTTCTTCTACGCTCTTTTGAATTTTATAATCAGCTTTAATTCGAGATACGAGTTCATCAAGTTCAACAACAACAGCTTTTATCTAGTAACAAAAAAAATCATAGATTGAAATCCGAATCATTTAGTCTAATTTTACTTTTGGGAAATTGACAGCCCATTGTTTGTTTCTCTCTTTATCCATGCAATACACATAGATTGATATAATTTGTCGAATTTTGTGAATAGAAGGCACTATTTCTCGTCCCAATCGGCCACTAACAATCATGACTACTCGGTTATTTTGTGATCGTTCTTCAATAAATTTTTGACAGTGTTTTACATCTTGAAACTTTCTGAGAGTATTAATGATAGAACGTAATTTTTGTTCTGTGTCTCGATTATCTTTGGCGTTTGCACTATCATCGAGCCAGATAAGACAGAAATCTTCGAGTTGTTGTTGATCATCGACATTTTTGTGCAAGCCGTAATTTGGTAAAATAGCAGTGGCCATGTTAATTAAGAACACTTGATGTGAGAGAAGTTTTGAATGTTGTTGTTTTGATTTAGTTATTAAATGTTTAAACGTTTTTGGCAATCTAAGACAAATTTTCAAATCTCACTTATATGATTTTATGCAGAAGTATTTATGATATCATGTAAAAGGACAGAAGAATAAGATATCCGGATTTGCCAAAGAAAATCATATCCCTGTGATCCTTAGCTTTTCTAGGTAAGATCATTGAGACAAAGTGCAAAAATTTAATCATGAATTGAAATTATGTGTATTGTTTCTTTTCCTTTAGTCATCTAACAAGATAACAAACTAGACGATATCATCTTTCACTACGTTGATTACTGTCAGTTCGTAGTAGACTGAATTTTAATTTTAATCGGTATCAATCATGGTTCTAATTTTCCCCTTTAGAATATTCATACACTAAATTTAGTTAAATATATAAAACCAATGTGTTTTTTGTTCGTAGGAAATATTCAAAACATGTTGTTTCTTATCTGATAGAAAAGTTCTAATATTTGACAGAATTCAATAAGCGAATACTGGAAGATATCAACTAGTCAATGTTTCTACAAAATTTATTGAATTTTTCATGTATGCGATAGGAAAGTGTAATGAATAGTCGCCATTGTCAAAACATCACTAGAGCTCTTCAATTGTAATTATAGTCAAGAGGATAGAAAATCTGTTGCAATTAAAATCTCTTTTGATGTCGAAAGGATTTAACAAACAAGAGTGATCCTTGTCATATCTGAAGAGAGAATCGTTATCCTTCGCAGATGGCATTTACAATTAACAAGAAATCTTCTTGTGACTAGCAAGATCGTCATTGCGACCATGTTTATATTGTATCAGTGATGCTATTCTATTAATGTTTGGTATCTACTTATGAAATCAAACACTAACATTTCAAATGGCATTTACTCTTCTAATAAGATTAATATACTGTGAGAAATCGCATTTTTTGAAAGGAAAATGAGCGAAAGTACCATTCATGATTGTAAAAAATCTTAATGAACACTACTGATGTTTCAAAATATTGAGATATACTTCGGTTGTTAAGGACATTTATCTTTTAACATACACAGTAGGCGGTATTTTTCTTTTTTCTGTTACAACTCAACTTTAAATTACGACTGTTGTCATTAATTCTAGTGGACTTGAACAGAAAAAGTTCTTTATTCGTTTGACAGCGTTTAAGCTTTAACTCTTTATTTGTCATTTTTGCTGACAATATACTTCGATTCTACTAAGATCAACGATCATGACTGATATTCTTTTGAGAATTTTTCTGATTTATATAAAAGTGGCTATAAATTTCACAGTGATTTTTAGATTAAAGAACAGAACTGTCACATAGGTGCGATGATAAATGGTTAAAAATGAGAATAGAGATTTAATGATTTGTATATACAAAAAAATGAAAATGGTCAGACAAACTGATTTTGATTATACTGTTCAAAATAAACATCAATAGCACAAAGCAAACGTTAGATAATTAACGACATATAATATGTCCGCAAAGTGAAGTAATATGTAACAATCAACTCAAGATATAGCGTGATTGTTAGTTTCAATAGAGATATTTATTATGCTATTTCATATTCACATTAGTAATGTTTGGACGTAAAATAATAACTTATAGAAGTAGAGAGATCACAAAAGAAAATAGATGTAGAGAAAATAGATAATGATTTCTTAAGAGTGGTATTCTTTTTGGCGCAAAATCTTCAAAACTTGTTATACAAAGTTATCGATTGAGATAATTTTGCATTGCTATTTCAGAAATAATGTAGAGAAATAAATTTGTCAATTCATTCTTTTACTGCTAATAATCGTATCGAGGCATGGGTCATTTGAAGGGTTGGAATAGATCGATGTGAGATCATTCATCGATTATATTCCATCAACTTTTGGATTTCTAACTCTAGGAAATAATCGTTTTATTTCCCAAATATCTTCAGGTATGTGATCATTGCGGCCATAAATCTAATTCTCAACTAGTGATTTTTGGAGTAGTTTCACGTCATTATCATCGAACATTTGCCTCTTCGTGTTATCCAGTAAGTCATTGTTTCGTTTTGTTCATTTCTATTACTAGGTTCTAATTCAGATGTATGTATCAATAAAAGGACTAACATCTCTCATTCGTAGAATTATTTATGAATCAGAATAGTAACAGATGGACATTCTTATCGAAAGCACTTGGCCATATCATCATCTTACAATTACTTTCGTGCCCTTGATTTCGATAAACCTGTTCTATATGGGGTTCAATCATGTTTATCATCTATGTTAATTCTTTTCTCTTTCTCAACTATTCTGAAAGAAAAGATAATATCATCAGGTCATTTTTCTGACCATGTTCATGGTGATGAGAAAAAAGCGAATTTATCTGTTTGGTCTTTATATTAAATCACTCTTTACAAGAAGAAGCAAAGTGTCCATAACCTTTATATCATATGACAGATCATCCTAAAAGCATATTAAGAGAGTCAAAAAGTTAGGAACTGATCTAACCTAATACTCATGTATAGAGATATGTGTTACTACGGATTTTCGATTAAAGTCACGTCACAATCACGAAGATGTTTTCGACTTATTCAAATATCTGATAATGATGTTTTCAATGATAATTCCCGAAAAATTGTGATAACTTGCATGTAATTTACATTGCTTTAGTTTTTATAGAAGTGACCAAAGACAAAGAAAAATAGTGGATTTCCTGAACTTTTCTGATATTACATAATATTCTATGGAACCATAGAGACATTCAGAAATGCAAAGAACTCAAATGAATTCGAGCAACTTCAGATGATTCTAAAGGTTGCAACAATATTATGAAAAATTCGAAACAGTTTTTCAACTCTAGTTTTATTCAACGCAAATATGTTGGTAAAAATTAGTAAATCTCTCACAGATGTCTAATAGCATGTTCGAGATCTTTGTCATTGGCACACATAAGTGCTCATCTCGATTAAGTAAGTTTACGCCGTTTTTCATATATATATATGTTTGGTCTTCATAAATGAGCACAATACAATGAATAGCATTCTTTACTAATACGAAACGAAGAAAATTCTTAATATATAGTAAGTATATAAGAGGTTCATATCTTCTGAATTACTTTGGATTAAACAACTTAACTCAAATGAAAGAAAAAGATAGAAATGACGGACTCAACATTCAGGGAATGATAAGAAGTTCTTTAGAATTCGCACAAAATTTACAAAGAACTCAAGTCTTTCTTGAATTTTTGGATTTTAGAATTTCATGTTTACACTACTTTCCTTCGCCAAAGATCATCGATCGTGATTGGCGACACAGTCATGCATGATCGTGAATATTTTTACAAATCTATCGTCGCATAGCATTATGGTGACCTATGTGGGCACCTACAATTTCAAGATTCTATTCTTTGAAAAACATCAAAGTGTTAAAGGTTCTTAAGAAAATTGAATAGCATCAAAATCATTAAAGCCACACATTTCAATGCGTTATGATCACCCTAAAAAATCTTAACGAATAATTATAGATCAACTAGGAACTTGTTGCGTACTCAATGCATTCAAATGTGCAGATGTTGTGATTTTATTTTCATCAAGATTTTGACGCACTTCAAGTTATTTTGTGTTTGATGATCTGACTGAGCTGGCACATTCTACTAATGCCGATATCTGTGATCACTATTCAATCGTAGAAATATAGGAGATAAAATTCTCTATGTATGGTCTAATACCTTCAATAGTTTTATATTTCCTATACCTCCAGCGTAATCTGGAACGGGTATATT